AAGAGAGAGAGAGAGAGAGAGAGAGAGAGAGAGAAAGAGAGAGAGATAAAGAAAGGAGGAGGGAAGAGAAAATGATAACAAAATATTGTTTTGTTAGGAAAGTGAAACGTGAAATAGTTCTTTGTGACGGAAAGACGGTGTCTCGCAATTTGATCGAGCCTGGGACAGAAACAGGCTCGTCATGCTCTTAAACAGTATGTAAATAATTCGTTATTGTAAATTGATTCTGATGTTAAAAGTAGAGCCAGAAAATGAGGTTGGGGAAGAAAGGGGTTAGGTGTCGTTAATATTGACCTCACCGTGGTATTATAACCAAAGAGTCAAAACATAGGAGATAGTAAGAGGAAGGATGAAGTTCGTTTGTATAGCAAGAATCACAAATTTCCTCTCTCATACACCAAACTCATAGACGAAATCACGCTTTGCAGTTCAGTTATACTGTCCAGTAGGGAAAAGCTTTATATCTGTGAGTAAATCTGAGTAGAAAGAAGTGTCAAATATACGCTGTAATAAGGCATTTTAACTCGGCTACTCAGGCAGTGTGCAGCTCAAAGCATTATACCCCCCCCCCCTTCGCCCCAAATTAAAAAAAATAATTAAAAAGTTTTAAAAATAAACATTGTATTTTGTTTAATCTTAATTTTCTGACACTGTGTACAACTACTTTGGTCTAAGATATACGATCTAATACATTTATTATCTCTTATCACAAATACACAAAAAGACCCCACTTCTCCAGAAAGTACAAAGTTTATACCGCATTACGTGAAGCTGGGTTAAGTTCACGGACCCGCTTCTAACATCCGCATATTTTAATGAAATTTAACCACCCGCAATGAATGTGAAAAATGTCAACATCTTGGATGCTTTAAATGCGTAAGAGAGTGCTTAACGTTGTCGCATTGCGTTTCTTTTCTTCACAGATTGAGTTGCAGGAACGTCATCCAAGCCTGTCTGGCGTCGAGCTGGTCCGCGCCGCTCCTCTCCGCATCTCGCTGTCTCCCACGGGGAATAAAACCCGCTCAGAGGCGCTCCTCGGAAGGGGCGCACGGGTTTATCACCTGTGCCTGTCACGCGGAAGCACGATCCCAGCGTACGCTAATCTACCCCAGCTTTTGTACCTGGCAAGGAACTCGAGAAATTCATCGGAGATCTCCACTGAGATATGATACGGTGCACTCACGTCGAAGTATAAGAGAGGGATTGGCGAATTTTCGGGATAACTTCCTTTCCCGTCAACTTGACAAAGGTGTGGTGAGATAAATCCGTGGGGGGTCTGACAGACGTAGGCTTGTCCTCAAAAGCAACATAGCAAAAAAAAAAAAAAGAAAAAGAAAAAAAAAAAGGACTGGTTCATGTTGTTTCCTCATATCAAAGAGAGAGAAAGCAGTCAGTTTTATAAGTTGTATTTTTGTTATCAGCCGATACGATTTATTCGGGCCGCGAAAAACCGCCATTCACGACTCCCTTGTTGGGGAAATCTGGATAAAAACTGAGACGCTGATCTGTAGTACAGAGTGTCGACCACATTCTCTTCAGGAGAAAGCAGACACAAAGAACCATGAGCAATACAGCGAGTTTATTCTTCTTGAGCTGTTGGCTGGCCATTCTACAGGACGTCCCAGGTGAGTGACATTGACATTCTCTTTTTTTATTACGGGCCTTCCTTTGAAAAAGTAAAACAGCTTATGTAGAATAATTGTTAATTTCCTTTGTGTCGGACATTGAAATTTTGAATAATAAAATTGTTCTGTTCATGTAAATGTTTTTTCGAGGTAATATTATCACATCGAAATGTGGGGCCAAGGGCCCTTTTCTGCCTTTCTAACGACAACGAAAATGAGTCTACTTACAACCACTGTAAGTTACAGCGTGTCCCAGTTTCTAATAGTCAGTAAGCAAACATAATTAAAACTGTCTCGTCATGGTCTAACCCGTATTTGTGGCAAACCTCACAACAAAAACAAAAGTCATCGTGGCCGTGGTTTCTTTTTCTTTATCCTCAACCACCCCCCTCCCCCCTTTTTTAAAATTCCTCTTTTTCTTTTACTGTCTTTCGCTTCAAAACAGGGCGCACGTTCCCCCTACCCCTCCCTTGGTTTGAATCCTCAACGGGGCGTTTTGAACTTTAAAAAAAGCTGTAAGTTTGAAAAAATGGGGATGGGATTTTAAGGCTCACTACCTATTTGACCCAGTCTTATCAGAGATGGTCCTGCCTTTTACGAAGTTTCGTCAAGGAAAATAAAAGATGAAACAAAGTCAAAGCGTTGCCCACTCCGCAGAGGAGCCGTGGGGCGAGGCACACCCACAAAACGTTGCTAATAAAACGTCTGTCTTATCGTTTATGAACCACTTAAACAATTTATTTGTGATCAAGGTGATTAGCCTAAAATTAATGTCTATCCATCTTGTGTTGACTAGTCTGTTCTCCACTTACCTACTTGCCCATTGCGCCGGAGGAGAAAATCGGTCAACACTTTAGGTGACCCAAATAAACAAGAATGCGGACGAATGTGGTCTAGATCTGTCAAGAACATACACCGTAAGGTTTGTTTTCGGTGGGATACGGGAAATCAACTGGGGTAGGAATAAATTACTTT